AAAGGACAGTGCTCAGAAGATCCCAGAAGAGAAACTCAGCAGTTCTGAGGCCAGTGCCCCTTGACCACCCGCGGGGCAGGTCACAGGCCTGCTGACTCCTCCACGCACACTGTTTTCATGTTCTCTGAGAGCCGACTGTGTTGCCGTGTCCACGTCTCTGAGCCGGGATGAATGCCGTCAGGTTGGGTGGCCTGCCTGTGATGGAATCGTGCCACGGTGCTTTGTTGCATTCTTGTTTCGCCATGTGTGTTCCTCTCTCCCACTCCTATCATTGTGTTCTTGCAGCTGTGTGACATGAGTGGCGCCCTTTTGGATACATGTGAGGGGCTGTTCAGGGTAAGCTGGCTCGCCTCCTCTCCATGCAGCAGCCCACAGGCAGCTGCCCACCCGCTCCTCCCCTGCATGGGGCACAGACCCCCTCCACGGCTGCCCCTGCCCCCAGCTCCGCAGCAACCACCCCGCACAAGGGCTGTGTGCTTTTTGGAATCACGGGCTTTTTTTACTTTTTTCATTAAGAGGAGCTGGGGAACAGAACAGGCAAACTTGCTTAGCTCTGGTCCTCCCTAGCCTAGAACCACCCAGTTTCAACTCCTCATCCCTCCCTCTGCTGAGCACCGGGGCAGGGGTCTCATCTCCTCAGGGGTGATTTGCACCTTGTCTGCGGCTGAGAGCTTACGTGCTCAGGGTTCCAGGCAGCATTCACCGTGTAGGTCTTGGTTCACGGGAGGACATGCTGGGACAGGTATAGGACATCGCCTCCAGGACAGGGAACTTTCTAGCTGCTGAGGGTACATTCATAGATGGTCTCTCTTGAGACTTCAGTCTTGGTCTTCTGGGCTGACAGCTGATTAAAGAAGGCCCCACACTCTTCAAAGTCTTAGCTGAGCCCAACACACCAATGTGTACAGCTAACAAGACCCTTGCCATCCAGCTCAGTGACAGGTTTGGGAAGCATTTGTGTCAGTCTCTGCTTAGTCAATTAAAGACTAGATACAGGCAAGAGCGTGAGGGACCCAGACACTTGTGCCTGCCTCAGCGTGGGCTAGCCAGAGGTGGGGGGTTCCCCAGCTGCAGCCCCCAGGTCCTGGGGTTCACAGCAGGTGCAGGCAGGAGAGCAGCACTGACAGACTCTCTGACAGGAGACAGGCAAGAGCATGGACAGGCCACTGACGGACACTTGTCCCAAACGAGTGCCCCAGTTCCCTCCTTTCCAGGAGTCTGCGTGTGCCCCTCCCCTGCTGTAGGGAGTGCCCTCTCCCGCCAGCCTCTCTGAGGGAGCTGTGGCGAGTGACGGCTGACGTCAAGGGCCTGCTCTGGGCTGGGCACACACCATAACGTCTGTCTTGAGGATGTCGTGTTTAAAGTCACCACCACCATTTGTTATTCCCATTTCACTGCTTAGGACACTGAAACACAGAGAAGTCATTAACCTGACCAATGCCATACCTCATTGTGGCAGATGATTTTGTGCCCATAGCCGATCCTCCAGCAGCACAGGAGGCCGTGCCAGGTGCATCGTTGCCCTGTGCATGGGAGACATGGGTCCCTTCGTTGAGGAAGGCCAGTGACAGGCCAGCAGGCCACAGAGCTGCTGCAAGAGGGGCGCTTGGAGTGCTCCACCCGGGCTCTGCGTGTCAGCCAGCAAAGCCAAGACAGGCTGGAAGCGTTCTGACAGTGGGGAAGAGGGAGGCGGCGCTCTGTCCCCAGACTGGACATGTTTGTGTGTCGTGTAGGACCTCGTCCAAGTGTGTGTCTGAACTCAAGTAGGGTATTTTTCAGACTAAACATTTAATTGTTTAAAAAGAAAAACCCTCCTGAGACTGGCTGAGTGGCTCTCCAGCCACCCTGCCCCAGGCTGAGTCAGGCCAGGAACTAAGCTGGCCAGGGGACAGGAGAGGCTCTTTGGCCTCTCCTCTCCCACTGAGCAGCCTTTAGGCCCCAGCGGAGCCCAGTGAGGGGGGCTGCACCTTTAGGCCCCACTCTCCAGCGTGGCCCATCAGCCAGAAGCCTTGTGTCTCATGAACTGCGGACCCTGAGTCTCTGAGCAGGTGCACTTTCTGGTCCTCTCTCTGGGTGTAAGATGTCTATGCTTCCCACAGAGGTGTGGTCAAGAGCTCCTTGCAAGCTACAGAGCCTGGAAGGTGGTTACCCCAGGTAACAATGTCTCCAGGAGCCCAGGTTAGCAGTCAGGGGCTTGGCTGTGGCCAGGGAGCAGACCTGTGGCCACAGCTGCCACCAGAGTCCACGGGAACCCCTCAACCAGCCATAGTACAGCCATTCTCGGTAGCTACTCTCAGTGAGGGCCCTGCCCCAGGCTCCTTCATTAGGAGGGTGAAGGGTTTCTTGTGTCCTTTACTCTAGTGGACTCTGGGGCACAGTGCATTGCTGCACATCTTAGAATACCACCAAGACCACCCAGAAAGCAGCCTTAGGTAGGGGTGAGCTGGAGGGTCTGTGCAGCCTGAGTGAGCACAGTGGAGCTGCCCGGGTGACTGAGGCCGAGGGAGATGTCTTGCTTTTCCAAGCTTACAGGGTAGAGGCTAAGCTGACCCCGCCGTTGGAGGCTCCTGCCAGCCCTTAAAGACGCCCTCACACGGCTGCTGCCCAGTGCTGCCTGTCTGTGCCTGCAGCGAGCATCGCCTTAGCTGGACGCCTCTGCTCACCCACCTCTCTTTCTGCCACTTTCCAGATCTTGTCCACTTTGATATCCCCTCTATCCACGTAGAGCTTGGGTCCACGCTCCGCCTGAGCCCCCTGGAGCACTTGCGGCGACACTCAGTGACTGAGAAAAGGGACTCCGAGGAGGAGTCCGAGAGCACGGCCCTCTGACCGGCCTCGCCCGCGCGTTCATCCCTGTACCACACACCGCCACCGGAGCGCTGGAGCCTGGCGCCAGCAGCCGTGGGCGTGGGCCGTGGCTGCTCGTCGTCACTGCCAACACGAGGCTGGAATCTCGGAGCGGGGTGACCTCCGGCCCAGGGGGTGCATGGTACATTTTGTTTTTCTTTCAGGTGGTTACTTGGGCCTTTTCTTTGATCTTTGCCTTTGACTTTGTGCCTCTTTCAATCCACTCTCAGCCTCCATGCCAAGCAGCTCCCATCTCTCTCCACTTAAGAGACTACTTGTTTGAAAGGTCCTCCGAAGGGAGCTCGGGTGGCGTAGTCCGCAGTGAGGTGCACTGCTAACCCAAAGGCTGTGTCTGGCGGTTCGAATCCACCAGCAGCTCCAAGGGAGAAAGATGAGTAGTCTTCCTCCTATTGTGACTGATAGCCTGAGGCCCGATGGAGGGTTGCTGAGTAGAAACTGACTTGACAGCAACTGAGTGTGCAGAGCAGGAGGTGCTGAGGGCAGATGGCTGGCCAGATCTGGAGGCTGCATCCTTTCCCTGGACAGCTTATGCCCATGACCCTTAGGGTTCTTCAAGACCCTTCACAAGGGAGGTCTGGACAGCCTGGGACCCCCACTGCTAGGGTGGGGGAGCAGCCAGTGACAGAAACTTTCTGGCTGCCCTTAGAGGGAACAAAAGTTAATTGCTTAAAACCAAGTATATTTCACTTCTTAATAGTTTTATTTACATGACTGGAAGCTCAATTTATTCCCTATTGTTTTATACTTTTGGATTTAAACAATGATCTTGAGGTTGTTTTCTTTAGGGTCCAAAGACAGTCCATCCTCCATCCCCTAAACATTCGCTCACCGGCCCCTGAGCTCACCTCATGTGTGGGGCCAGGGTCCTGGTTCTTTCTGGAGGTTACCCGAGAATAGCAATAATTCTGTTGCCCGGAGCATGCTAAGAGAAGCAGCCAGCCCAGGGGGTGTGGCGCCCACCCTCCTGAGGTCCCATCATTTGGCGGCAGGAGGGCCAGGGTGGGGCACTGGGAGCCTGCTCATGCTTTGGGAGTAAGGAACTGAGAACCAGATGTGGGTCATGCATGCAAAATCAAACTTTACAAAGTTGTCCTTTTAAAATAGTTATAATTCATATACCTATACACAATATAATATTTGTATATATGAAATCTATATTTGTTTAATTTGAGCCATTCAATCTAAATCAATGTACAGTGTACAATGAAAATCTAAAGGCTTTGTTATTTTACCCGACATGGCGTACAATCACCCTCCTTGGACAGTGGGATTTTTGAAAGTCTGTCTCAGCTTTGCTCACTTCTTGGCAAGGGCGGCTCAGGACCCAGTTTGTAAGGGAGTCCAGGGGTTAAAAGTTAACCTTTAAATACATGTACAAATAGCTGTCAAAAGTAATGTTATTAAAATAGATTTATTATCCCTGAGCATGGCGTATCTTGTTTCCATAACAAGCACGTGACAGCACAGCAGTAAACCAGGTGCCATGAAACTCTGAGATTTCCCATCAGGGCAAGTGGAGTCCTTGGCCTTAAAGCTCTCATGTCACCTGAGTTCTGAAATTCTTTCTGTATTCTCCTGCATAAGGTGAATGCACAGCGTGTGGGATTCACCTCTGCTCAGCCGCTGCCAATGACTTTTGTCGAGTGTTAGGCCAGTGAAGGGGGCTGCCACCGGTGAGCAAGTCCGGAGCTTAGTGGTTGGGCACATGGACCCTGACCACAGTGGCTGCACCATGACAGCAGTCTGACCAGGCAACACACGCAGGACCACGTGGGCAAATGCACACACTTCCAAGCTGTGTCTGGAAAAACATCCTGCAGTCTTGGGCAGACTTCTCCACCATCCTATGACTTCTCGACTTCCTGGGAGGAGGGCGGTGTGCCGCTCTGTCACACGATTGTAAAGAGCCAGCCTACACAGGCATTAGTTCATGGGCTGCCTGCGGACCCCGAGGTCCTGGAAGGGCTCAGGCACACAGCCCACGTCCTGGAGTCTAGTAGTGAAGGCACGCTTTGCCTGTGTACTCCTGAACGCCCTCCTGGCGATGTGTTCTCTGCCGCGTGCAGGGAGAGCAGACGCCAGCGCCCACAGGGAATGTAAGGTTGCTCGGAGCTCAGGGGGGCTCCGACGCCTCAGTTGGCTTTAGTCTTCTTGCTTGTGGGGCTCGGAGGCCCATCCTCCGCCACCCTCTTCTGCGGGGAGTCCCCAGAGAGCAGAGCCGCCCGCACCAGCCGCAGCTCCCGCTTCTCCCTGCGCCCCTCCATCTCCTCCAGATCATCAGCGAACAGGGCTTTGAGCGAGGGGATGAGCTTGGGCACTGTGGGGAAGTCTCTGAAGCAGACCTGCAGGGCAGGGAGGCATTGAAGACAGACCTTCCAGGGCTTGTGGGGGGACAGCGGGCAGCAGCAGCCCTGTTCCTCGCCAGCTCTCTGAGCCTGCTGGCATGGTCAGGGAGAGGCTGGATACTGCCAAGGACATAGTAAGCTCTATCTCCTGGCCAAGAGGCCATGCTGGTCCCAGGAAAGACAGTCCACACTGTTCATATCAACCCCCCCAAACCACCAACTGAGCTCATCATCTGCTGCCCATTCATTACAGGAGGCCTCGTGGGAAGGCTTCACCACTGAGAAGGGGGACACCTCCTGTCCCCCAGGTTCATGAAGGTTAAATGTTGAGACTGAATGGCCTTGTTAGTCCCCAGTGGACATGATAGAGGCCCTCCGCAGGGAGCCCCATCGCCATGCACGTCAGCCTGCTCAAGTGTGTGATGTGGGGCCCCCACCCAAGGGAAGACTACACTACACCCCCAACACTCTGTGCCCCCCATCCCCACCCAGCACAGCCTGCAGGATACAGACCTTCATGTGGTCAAAGGCAATTCCGACTTTCTCGTTAAAGTCTGGACTGAAGAGGGGGATCTTGGCATAGCGCTGACTGAAGTGGTTCAGCATGACAAACTCGGCATTCATCCGCATGCCCACGTTGATGGCCTGCGAGGTCGTGCTGTCGGCAGGATGTGTCCAGAGGTGAGTCAGTGCAGGGCTCCATGGGGGAGCAGCAGCACAGACCCTCAGCACCACGTGGAGACCACCAGCCTCCCTCCTTGCAGCTCAGCAGCTACATACCCTGCCCAGTGCCAGCTGGGAGCAAAAGCCACAGACAACACTTAAGGGCCTGTCCCTTGGGATAGGGCATACGGTTGTTAAAATGCCAGACCAAGACCCAGCTCCACCCTCTCATTTCCAGTGACTTGCCATGCAGTTTAATTCAACCTATCTCCAATTCTTTCAAAGGCCATCCCGAACCTACAGCTTAGCGACTGCTTCAGAAATAAAAGCTACATGTAAAGTGCCACAGCCTGTGGCCAGGAAGCTGGCTAGCCACGTGTTGTTCCCCAGAGGGGCATGGAAAGCTCTGAGTTCCACATGGCAGACGTGGTGTGGCTGGGGCAACAAGAAGACCTTTACTACCTGTGTGTCTTCTCCATCGCTTCCTCCTCTAGGCCATCCTCCAGTGTGGCTTCATGTATGAGGAGCGTGGCATCTTTTCCTAAACAAGAAACACAGGCATGAGAACAGAGGACTCTGATAAAAAACTCACGGTCAGAGTGGTTGTACCATTTTACAATCCCATCAACAATACATGAGAATTCCCACCTTCCCACATCCTCTCCAACTTTTATTACTTGCTGCTCTACTCAACTTTGCCACTGCTACTGGGTGAGATAGTATCTCATTGTGGTTCTGATTTGCATCTCTCATTGCCAGTAATTTTCAACTTATTTTATGAAACATAAAGCATGGGAATGATTGTATGAAACACAACGTGAATGAAGACTAGTGTGAAACACAATGTATACAAGCTTTGTAAGTAAGCCAATAAAAAAAAGAAGGGGAGGGGAGGAAAAACTGGTTCTGGGTTCACACAGCAGTGGGCTGGACCCAACACTGGGCTTCTAACATCCTGGGATTTCATGTTACGGTCCCAGTCACAGGTCATTCAGATAAAGGGCCCAAGTGTGCTGCCCCGTAGATCCTTCCTGAGGAAAACCCTCATGACCTTTACTCACCCATCTGGACCAGAGAATCGCAGGGCATGGTGTCCCCTGAGTAGACCACTTTCCAGCCAGATGCATGCACCAGTGCACAGCCGAATGCATGTCTGCAGTGTCGAACCAGGCAGGTCTGGAACTAAAGGGCCGATGGGGGTTAAGGCTCCCTGCAGCACTGCCCCACTGCCCCACAGCACCCTCCTCAGGACCCATTGCCCCTTTACCTCCTCCAGGTCACACATTTCCAACAGTGAACTGATCAGCCTTTCAATCACAGGATTGGAGACTTCTGCCTCTTTCTGAAGGCATTTGGAGGGAATCAAACTGAGAAGATTAAACATCAAAAAAGGAACATTTGAAAAATGGACGCAGAGTGTCCTAGAATCACTCTTAGGAAGAAACATAATTTAGACTGCCATTACTAAGTAAAGAGTCCTCAAAACTACCAGACACATCCCTGGGCCTGTAAGTGACCGAGTGGATGAATGCTGCTCCCAGCTAAGGCAGAAGGGCCCCTTTCTTGCAGCCCATGGACAACCCCAGCCAGACAGGCTGCTGGTCTCTTGAACTTCCCTTCATCCACCCGGAATGGACGGTTCCTGTGCTTGTCACAACCCAGGGGCCCACTCTGGGGAAATAGAGTATAGAATGGAAGTTAAGGGTGGAGAAGAAATATATCAAAGATAACACTTAATGTGAGGAACCTACTGGTTCTACTTTTGGGTGAAAACACCCAGCCCCTCTCTGCATTTAGGGATGAGGGAAGCTTGCGGGAAGGCAGCAATGCCCACTATCAGCCCTGTGCTTGCTGGGGTGGCAGCCAGACCGTCCTGGACACTCACCTGACGTGATGCAGAATCTCCTGGCACCTGTCATGGTACTGCTGGAGCCAGGCCCGCAGCTGGGTGGGGGCAACCACCAGCAGAGGCCGCAATGGCTTTCCTAGTGAGGCCTGGAGCAAAGGAAGAAAGGGCATTAAGTCAAGGGCAAACCAAAAGGGGATGGTGATTACACATGAACCAGTGAGACTCAAAAATTCCAACAAAATCAAAGGTACACTCACCAAAGCTCGTTCTCGCTGCAGCAGGATGTTTAACAAGCCCTGGGAAGGCAAAAGGGAATGTGGGTGAGCCATGCTAAAAAGAATTTTCTTCCCTGATACGGTTCTGGAGTCACGAGCTCTCAATAATTCCTAGTTTTTTTATCAACTGCTTCTTAGAGAAGGTGAAACCAAGTTTCTCCCTGGAGCTAGGATTTTGAAGTTTCTGTCTCACATACTTTGGGCATGTTATTAAGAAGGTCCGATCCTTGGAGAAGGATATTTTGCTCGGAAGGGTGGAGGGACAGTACAGGAAAGGAAAACCCTGGATGAGATGGATTGACACAGTAACTAGGGCAGTGGGGGTTGACTGTGTTGGAGTCAGGACAGGGCAGGCTTCAGAGCTGCTGTACATAGGTTGCTATAAATTGCAGGTAACTTGACAGTATATAACAACACCCTCTAACATGACTAGAGCTGGGATGGACTTGTGAGCCCAAAATACAACAGGCAGAATGCAGTGTGAACATTGCTGGAGAGGAAGCGAGACTGATGTGTCAGCTGAGATGCTTGCCGACCCAAGCTGACATTCAAGAAAAGCTAGGGGAAGACAAAGCTTAGACCACGGCACGAGAGGTAATGATCGGACTAAGAAGAATGACTACAGGACTTCTGTAAAGGACCATTTCCTAATGCGATTAAAAAGAGTCAGCAAATCTGGGTGTAGGAGAACGTGGACAGTGGCAGGACAGTGCTGGTCAGCGGAGGCAGGCTCCAGGGCAGAGCACTCACCGTGTGGTGGTCTGCATGCAGGTGGGACACGAACACCGCAGCCAGCGTGCCCAGGATCTTGTCTACTTCATCACCATAGTGACGGCACAGCTGGCCAAAAGTGCCTTCTCCACAGTCCAGCAGCACAGACCGGTCAGCGCTGTATAAAGAGCAACAGGGTCACCCACAACAGCAAAGGGTTTCTTATCGTTTGTTGTTGTTGTTGTTGTGTGCTACCGAGTCGGAAATGACCCACAGCTGACCCACCAGTGGGTTTACAGAGGTTTATATCACATGGGAGGAGGTTGCTCATCCTTCTCCCGTGGAGTGGCTGGTGGATTTGAACTGAGTGCCTTTGGAACTGCAGCGCAGATTCTTAGCACTAGGCCACCAAAGCGTTTTTATTCTACGGCAGAAAGCAGTTATGGGAATGTCTTCCACAATCTCTTCTCAAGCTTTCTAAGGAATTTACATAAGCCAGTGATTCAACCATGAGGCCGTTTTCCACGTCCTTCCTGTTTATACGAGAGGATCATCCACAATGGAATCATACATGCCTTTGGGGTACACACAGCTTTACAAATGTGTGACCCTCAGGTCTGTTTGTTTTGTGGTCAAACAATTCTAGGTCATATAGCCCTGGTCTGTCCACTTGCATGGTTGCTGTGAAGCTGAACACTGTGACACTGACGTGTCAAATGTGACAATGGTTACCCATGGTGGACAGTGTTTGGTGGAGCTCCCCAGTTAAAACAAGCTTGGAAGCAGGAGTGGCATCCACTTCTGTAAATAGCTTGTATCCGGAAACCCTATGAACCTGGAGAAAGGATGAAAGTTATACAAGTGTCCAGGTCTTTCATTCATAGGGTCACTATGAGTTGCCTACGACTCGATGGCACTTAACAGCAATAACTGTTGGGTGCTATCGAGTCAGCTTTGGCTCATGGAAACGCCAAGTACAGCCAACCCCCCTCACTGAGGGGCTTCTTCATTCCTGCTGATTCCCTACTTTACCAAGCACGATGTCTTTCTCTAGGGACTAGGTGTAAAAACAAAACCACAGGAAGTTAGGGGTGGGCTGACAGGGCAAGAACATGCCACTGTAATGTGGGCCTGGTATGTGGCTGTGGCAAAGCCCCTGCTGGTAACACAGGAGATGAGCACGGCTCGGGGGCCTGTGTTCCTGTCATCCCAAGGCTGTTCCCAAGCGCACTGGTGGCCGGCTCCACGCCATGTCTGGGTGCTGCTCTGAGCTGCGTCAGCTGGCCCCAGACAGAGGCCAGAGGGCTCCGCTCCTGACCAGTCCCTGCTGATGTTCAGCTCGGCTCAGAACTGCCGACCTGACAGAACCACTGCTGACACAGACAGCTGTCGCCACCCCTACAGGAGTGTCTTTTTCTTGGGGTGTCCTGGAGGCTGGGCGGGGCTCAACCACTTTTCAGAGAAGTCTTACCTGGAACATTCCTGAATAGGGGAAACCAGCTGATGACAGCACCTAAAGATCAACCTCGACGGGCTCCAGTGGCCACACTCAGGATCCACTACCAGAGAAACCTCTGGACCCTGAGGCCTGCCCTCCCACAGCCTGGCTACACCCCTTCGGATGGAAGAGAAACATCAGTTTCTCTGCTGATAATGACACCAGCCAGAGCCCAAAGAGTCGACTAAAAAAACCAGTGAGGGCAATATTGTATAGGGATGGAGTCCAAACAGAATCCAAAGGCCTTTGTAACATAAAACAATGATTAGGTTGAAAGACAAGAGAGTGTGACAATGAAGAGACTCCAGTTCAAACTCTGGAACTGCCACCATCAGCTGTGGGAACTGGAGCAAGCTATCACCTGTGAGGGTCCGTTTACTCACTGGCAAAATGGATGTTCGCTACTCCATGGCCATAAGGTGACAATTTCCAAGCGTGGTGCTGGACATACAGTAGGTGTCCAATGATTATCAGTTCATTTTCATGAAAAGACACCATGGTTGGCACGTTCTGGTAACTTCCAGAAGTGTAAGTCCCTCAAATGCACTAAGAGCTACACTCCCTCTCCCAGGGCACTCCAGCCAAGACGCTGGGCTTACAGGGTCTTACACAGCTCAGTATGTCGGTTAGCCTGGTGGGGGCGGCCGGATAGTGATGAAGAACTGAGCAGCCCACCTGATGAGAGAGCAGTCATACCTGATGTTGACAAGCGTGGCGCTGACGTTCCGGATCTTCATGGGGATGGCAGACCCTGTGCCCAGGAAGACTATTTCTGGATACTGGCTCCTTTTCTCTATGGAAAACCACACACATAAAAGATCTCTTTCTTCTGGTCAAAATGCCCTTCAACCCGAGAGTGCACATTCAAAGAGGCCTGAAGCAGTACCAGGCCAGAACCAGCCACCTAAGAGGGATGCTCAACTTGAGAACTGGAATTAGATGGAGTTGGACCAACCATCTCTAGGTCCTTGCAGGGATTTCCTCCTCCATGCAGGCCACACCTTGTTAGCAGTAAAGGCCTGCAGGGGGTTGGGGTGGGGTTAATGTTAGGTGACATGGACAGTCTGATTCATCATGACCTAATAGATCTGAACCCTGTCCTGTCCTGTGCCATCCTCATTATCTCTGACACACTAGGGTCCACTGATCTAGTCACACAATCCATCTTATTATCCTCTCTTTGGCTCATCTTACACCTTTCCAGGTACAGCGTGTCTTTCCTAGAACAGCCTCTCCTAACAACATGTCCAAAGTATGAGAGGCATCTTCAACCTCCTTGCCTCCAAGGAGCACGCTGGTGGCACTTTCTCTAAGACGTATCTGTCTGTTTTGGCAGTCCATGGGCTATTCTCCATTCTCCAACACCGCAGCTCAGGGAGAACAACTGAATTCCACATTCATTTCTTCAAAACTGTTAGTCAAGTGAATGCTTTTGAATTTTAAAAAAGGAGACTTCTTTACTCCAGGTTGTTATCACCTGTTTAGCTCCAGCTCCACTTTTAGCTGTACTTACGTAACCCCCCCCCCCGCCCCCAGCCACAGCAGACAGGTACTGGCACATTTTACAGGGGAGAAAACAGGTCAGGGGGCCAGAGCTTTCCCGAGCCAGTGTAGCAGGGGGAAGCCAGGATTCCAATTCTGACATAGCTGATGTTAAAAGGCTGTACTCTCCTGGCCTTCTCACACAGCCAGTCACCCCAGGCACACCTCCCTTGATCTCTATGGATCTTCCAGATCCACAAAGGAAGCACCTAGTGAGTTCTTCCAGAAAAGAAGAACAGCTATCCCAGAGGGTGGTGAGCACATAACCATCATGTTGGGGCCTGGCCCCAACACTGCCTTGTGGGGGAGCCAGCAGGCAGGGAAACGGTGTTTGGCGACAGGAAACCTCCAAGCCTGCCTTCTATTCCAGTGTTCTCAATCTACCATGAGTGGAAAACAGCACTAGAAAAACCACCTGCGAAATCAGGGGTCAGTCACTTCTCATGACCTTTCCTGATGGCGAAGCTCAACAAGTTGAGTAACTTGGCCAGTGTCTTCCCTGGATTGTTGCTGTCGTTGAGTTCTGGTGAGTCAGAACAGACCCATACTGACCCTCCGGCAGTTTTCAGAGGCAGTTAGTCACACAGGAGGAGATTGCCCATGCTTCTGCAGAGCAGCCAGCTGGTGGATTTGAACTGCAGGCCTTTGGGACTGCAGTGCAGCTTCTTTCCCAAGAAACTCGTAAATCACTCACTGTAGAATTCTACCTTCTGAAGATTACCTCTCTGGCCTGGCATGCTAAAAGGTCTGGTCTAACTGGACAGGGCAAGCACCAGCATTTTTAAAGACTCTCCACCCTTCTCAGCATGACTGTCATTTACAGCCAAAGCAGAAAAGCACCGCGTTAAATAAATACACAGGCGAGAACACGCCTTGTCAGGACTCAGGATCGCAGGCAGGCAGGGCCCCCGAGGCTGTGTGCGAGCTCTCCCTCACCTGTCGGGACAGGACCATCCTGCACACTCTTCTTACACTCCTGCACATGCTCCTGGAAATTGGGGAGCTCCAGCGCCTCGGCGATGAATTCATCAGGATTGCAAGTAAGGAGAGCATCCCTGCAGGGGAAAGAGTCCCAAGTGACCCAGGTGCCAGTGAGCTTCGAGCAAAAACTAAGCGGGCTCTCTGAAACCACATCATGGCTCCATCTGTCTCAGACAAGAGTCTCATAACAAAACTTTAGAGAATACTCCTGGGCCTCCACAAGAAAAAGACTGATAACCCAATTACAAAATGGGCAAAAGACATGGAAAGAATTTTCAGAGGAAGATATTCAAATGACCAACAGTCACATGAAGAAATGCTCCAAATCACTGACAATAAGAGAGATGCAAATCAAAACCACAATGAGGTACCATCTCACTCCAATAACAGTGGCAAAGTTTAACAAGACAGCAAGTAATAAATGTTGGAGAGGGTGTAGCAAGGTAGGAACTTATATATTGCTGGTGGGATTGTAAAATGGTATAACCACTCTGCAAGGCAGTTTAGAGCTTCCTCAAAAAGCTGAACACAAATTCCATATGACCCAGCTATTCCACTGCTTGGAGGCACAAATGGAGATTTGTTCACCAATGTTCATGGCAGTGTTATTCACCATCACAAGAACATGGAAAGAGCTCAGATGGCCAACCACAATTAAATGGACTGAGAGATTATGATACATTCACACAATGGAATCCTACACAGCACGCAGGAGCAATGATTTTGTAAATCACTACCTAACTTGGGAGGGACTGGAGAGCATTATGCTGAGTGAACTAACTCAGTCCCATAAGGATAAATATTGTGTAAAACCATTATTACAGAATGAGTGTGAAGATCCAAGGTGGGGGGTGGTTAGAGGCAGAGGGATGAGGATGTGTGAAGGAGAGGGGGATTAATCATGGGGTTGTACAATTTGATGGGGGGGGGGTAAGGGAAATTGTAAGAATCTGGTCTGGAAAACAATGTACTAAAATTTTATAAATAAACTAAATTTAAAAAAAAAAAAAAAAGAAAACACAAAGAAAAATAGCCAAAAATTAGGATCCCAAATGAGGAAACATCCCTATCTGAACCACCAAGAAAAACTCTGTCACTAAGAACTACTTAAAGATACAGGAAAAGACTAATGGTATGTCAGGCTACAAACCTGTACACACATTGTTCTAGGACATCCCACCTGTACAAGGTTAAGAACATGTTAAATAATCATCATTATTTCTGGGGATGGGATTGTGGGTGACTCATTCACTCCACCAAGCATTTCCTATTTTCTCTATTGCAAAACAAGGAACATGTACTAAAAGACGGTGACTGGCCCAATCCCCCCGTTAAGCCCAGACTAGCATCCATCTGGTTTGGTAAATAACTCTTGGAACATGGCCACATCCATTTGTTCTCTCTGTTAGCAGTTAGGACGCTCTCACAGAGGCCAAAGGGCCCACAAAGGCTGAAATCTGTTCTACAGACATTTGGACAGCAGGCACACGCCCCACACTGACCTCTGCCACTCCCTTCTGGGGCGCAGCTGGTACTTGAGGAGACACTGGGCGCGCACGGCGGGCACACGGCAGACAGCACCTTCGTCCTGGAAAAGACAGAACATGCCCATGGAGACCGACCCAGCGCGGAGCGCCAGCCTGCCCAGGCTGCACCGTGACTACCTGGCTGGTGACGTCGGCCAGTGGCGGGAAGATGGCAGGGTGGATGAGGTTAAGCTGCGTCTGAATCTTGTGGCTGCGGAGGTTGTGGACGGACGGACAGCTCTCATTCATGATCAAGTGCTGCGTATCAGGTCCAAACCTAAGACCAAAGAAAGACCCGAGGTTCGCAGCGTGTTTTCCAGGACATTTCTCTCATCTAGGGGCCCCCAAATTCCACTTAGTAAAATGGCCAAACATGATTCTTCTTCTTTTTCCAAATTCAGTGTTCTTACCACCTCAGCTACCCTTTGGATGTGTTGAGAAGAGGACTCGGAAAAAGGAGAAAAATTAAGTGTTAAAGTCTACAGATTGCGACGGAAAAGCCAAACAAAATGGAAAACTGGGTGGACCAAGAAAAAGCACTGTAAAAGGAACGTGGATACTGTAAATTAAGGCAAACCCAGAAAGTGTGGAAGAGCTGAGAAACAAGCTCCTGCCGGCACTGACAAGAGAGAGCAAGGGGGCCACATGGGCAAACCCAGGACAGAGGAGGACAAGCACCCCTTCCTGGCTCCGTCCCTGAAGTCTGACGCCAAGAATTCCTGCCACCTGTTGCTAGCGTTGGTTACTGCAGCCGAGAGGGAAAAAGTGGATGCTCTTCCCACTTGGGAGATTTTGGAATACATGTACCTCACAGGGTTAAGAAGATTCAATTAACTGAAATGAACTTTAAAAAATATTTCACCTACTGCCTGACATACAACAAGCACTTAACAAACTGAAGTGATCATCACATACTCTCAAGGCTCTCAACACACATGTAAAATTATTAACGAAGAGGGAGAGTGTGATCAGACGTCAAGACAGGACTGAGAGCGAGTGAGCGAGCTGGTGAGAGATTATGCCCTCACGTGGCCACACCACTCACCTACCCACACTCTGTGACCCAAGAGGGGTATTTTCTCTTGGTGAGTCACACAGGGATGCTCCTAGGGATTCCAGAAGGCAGTTACCCAGAAAGCAGTCACCGGATGATGAGAATGCTGAGGTAGGGGCTGGGGAAGGGAGGTGGCACCTGACTGAACATTGAGAAGGGAGGAGCAGCTGTCCCGTGTGAACCACCGGGTCGGGTTCTTACCTCTCCATCCACTGCTGGTATCTACTGTCAGAAAGCACGGAGTCAGGGGCCAGGTGAACCACCAGGGCGACGGGGGCATCAGCATTCCCTTGGTACCTGGAGAGGAGAAGCAGCTGCAGAATCTGTGTGCACGGGGGCACGGAAGTGAGCTGACAGCCCTCCGGCCTGGGCCACACTTGATCCCCACAATGCCAGGAGCCACCATGCTGGGCCACTGCCATCCACGTACACAGCGTGGTCTCACCCAGGACTGCGTGTCTGAATTCTAGAATTTACTCTGGACTTAGAACTCAAGTGCATAACAGGCTCTTGGACAGGACACTCTGCCTCAGCACAGACCTCCCTCCCCCTGTGCCTGGCCCTCACTTCCTCCCTGCTCAGGTGAGAGAGATTTGCTCTGCTTTGACCGTGTACCTCCTGAAGGCAGCATTTTCACAGATGGACTGTATAAATCCTTCATCCGGACACTCCACCACAACAAAAGCCAGACCAGGATCTGGGGGGGTACAGATCTCTTCAGGCAAAATCTGCAAAATAAGTCACGTGGGTCATGGTGCCCTCCCAGGGCAGGTCCGAAACCATCTGACCTACACGGCAATGGCCTCCATGACCGACCGCACTTCAGCCAGTTTGGTCAAGGTCCACACAGCACAAAGCAGCTCTAAGGAGCACCTTCCACCCTCCTCCTGTGTTTATAATCACACAGGTAGGCAATGAGACTGCACAAGGTAGTCCGGACCCGCAGTGGTTGGAGCCAATCGTGGCATGCAAGACCCTCAGGCCTGTGGCCTCTGGTCCTAACAGCCCTAGACACGAGCTGACCATATTCCTCTGATGTGTGGCAAGTCCACCTCAGGGGGTGCTGCTGTTAGGCACCGCCCTGCACTCAAGCACACTCATCCAGCCACAACAAAGATGCCACTTTATCACTTAGCCAAGGGACTGGCGGCCACACTGCTCCATGGCCCTGAGAAGCAGTGTCTGTGGGATCTGACCCCGACCCTAACACACTGCAAGGTCCCCAGCCTGCCTGAACCTAACATGGAAGGAACCAGCTGTCTCACCTCTCTGCCTTCAAAAGTTACACTTTTCCCATCCTTCACGGCAGCAATGATTGGGGCGATGGCGGCTGTTCCCCTGAAATGAGCCAAGCCCTCTGTAAGAGGAGGAGGTTTGGGGACCAAGGCAAGCCACCCCCCACAGCCCTGGCATCCCTGACACTCACACTGGGAGGCCCAACTCCTTTGCTTTGAGCACCAAGAAGTTCCCTTTCTTCAAGTGAAGCTGCAATGAAAAGATCGTAATGTCATTTCAGTAAAAGACAAGTTTGGTTTTAATCAATTTTCTTAGAAGTTACTAAGTCTAGTTGATTTTTTTAAAATAGTGTAAAATCAAGATTATTGCTTTCAGAAGCTCCATTAGAAAAGTTATTTTGAGATATTTTAGGATGAAAAGCTGAATGATTTAAACTACAGAACTTTATTTCTCAGCATTAGCCGAAGTTGTTAATTTAAAATAACTTAATGCATCTCTAGGGAGCGCGGGTGGCTAAGTGTTAAGAAGTTGCACTGCAACCCCAAAGGCATGGAGTTCAAATCTACCAGCTGCTCCACCAGAGAAAGAAGGGCTATCTCTTCTCGTGCAGTTAACAGCTTCTGAAAGTGCACCACAGGGTCAGTTAGGTAGTTATGGGTCAGTTCTAGCTCTGTGGTACACGACGACGACGACAATGCATTTCCTTATCAAAGGGAATACATATTCCCTCAATTATCCTTGAGAGGAACTGTGTTCCATCGGGTGTTCAGTGGCTGGTTTTTCAGAGGGGAGCTCTGGTGGCATGGTCCATGTGAGCTGAGCTGCTGATCGAAAGGCAGCACCTCGCTGGCAGTTCGAATCCAGCAGGGGCTCCGAGGGAGAAAGATGGACAATCTCCTCCAGTCAATTCGTAGCCTCAGAAAAGCCGCCGGAGGGTCAGCTCTGAGTCAGTCTCGAGTGATTTTTCAGGAAGTGGACTGCTCAGCGTTTCATCTGACGTGCCTCCCTCCGCCTGGACTGAGCTCGCCAACCTTTCCCTGGGTGAGCCGCCAGGCAGTTTCTGTCCACACCACCTGGGGCTTCCCTGGGGTCGCTGTGAGCCAGGATGAACTCAGCAGCAACTGGTTCTGGCAGCCCTGGGGAGAAACGCTACTCCACTGTCTCATTTTGTATCTACCAATTAATAAACAGCTAAAAGCAGATCAGTAAAATGTCTGGTGCAGAAAAATTATAAATAAAAAGCCACTACAGAACATAATAATCCAACTGACAGTGATAGACTAATAAAATGAAAGGTTTCTTTCAAATATTTAGCAATACAATGAATAAGAATCAAGAGTGCAAATATCAATCTCAACATGTTCTTATTGTATTATTGTTATTATGTGCTAGCCAGTTGCCTGCCACCCATAGCAACCCTGTGTATAGCAGCTCTGCTCTATCCTGTCCTGAGCCAGTCTTCACTAATTCCAACACACCAACCCCATTGCCCCAGTTACTGCATCAATCCATCTCATCCGGGGTCTTCCTCTCCTGCACCATCCCTCCACCCTTTCGAGCATGATGTCCTTCTCCACGGACTGGTCTCTCCTGGCCACATGTCCAAAGTCTGTGAGCTGGAGCTTCAAAATCCTAGCCTCCAAGGAGAAACTTGGTTTAACCCTCTCCAAGACTGCCCTATTTTATTTTCTTGTTGGTCTGTGGTTATGTCCAAGACTCTTCTCCAGCACCACGACTCAAAGGCATCAATCCTTCTTCTGTCATCCTTAGTCACTGTCGAGCTCTCTGATGCATGGCAAGTAATTGCGAAGACCATGGCTTGGGTTAGGCACACCTTAGTCTCTAGACTGACTTTGCTGCTTTTCAGCACTTTGAAGAGGTCCCTGACAGCAGATTTTCTCAATGCAATTCACCTTTTTATTTCCTGGCTGCTGCTTTTAGGAGTGTTGATTGAGGGGTCAAGCAAGCTGTAATTGTTAACAACCTCAATCTTTTCTCCATCTATCATGGTGCTGCCAATTGGCCCAGTGGTGAGAATCTCTGGCCTCTTGATGCTGAGCTTCAATTCATATTGAAGACTATAGTCCTTGACCTTCTGCAGCAAACACTTCAGGTCTTCTTCAGTTTCAGCAAGCAAGGTTGTGTCAAATGCATAACATAGGTTTTTGATGAGTCTTCCTCCAATCCTGATGCCACATTCCTCCCTGCTTCCCAAATGATCTGTTCTGCATATATATTGAAAATGTAAGGAGACAGACTGCACCCCTAACGCACTCCTTTCCTGATTTTTTTTCTTCTTTTCTCATTGTATACTGTTGAATCAGATCTGACAGGCACAGGAGAAGACTGTTTCTCCTTCCCCAGCAGAGCATCTGGTTGGATTTTAACTGAGCGCCTTCGGGACTGCAGTGCAGCTTCTTTGCCATTAGGCCACCAGAGCTTCCTTCCTTTCCTGATTTTGAACCACGCAGTGTTTCCCTGCTCTGTTCTGAGGACTGCTTCCTGGTCCAAATATAGGTTTCACATAAACACAATCAAGTATTCTGGGATTCCCATTTTCCTCAAGGTTAGCCACAATTTGTTGTTATCCACCCAGTTAAATGCCTTTGCATAGTCAAGGAACACAGACAGACATTCTTCTGGTCCTCTCTGCTTGTTATGCTCTTATTAGAACAGATCATCCAGGAGGCTGGGCTCTATGAGGAGAAGTGTGGCATCAGGATTGGTGGAAGATTTATCAACAATCTGTATTATGCAGATGACATAACCTTGCTTGCTGAAAATGAGGAGGACCTGAAGCGCTTGCTGCTGAGGGTCAAGAACTGCAGCCTTCAATATCGATTAAGGCTCAATATCAAGAAGACAAAGATTCTCAGCACTGACCAATTGGTAGCATCAGGATCGATGGTGAAGAGATTGAGATTGTTCACAGCCTCAGTTTGCTCGGCTCCACAGTCAAAACTCTTGGCACCAGCAGCCAGGAAATGAAAAGACTTATTGTGATGGCAAAATTTGCTGTTAGGGACCTTTCCAAAGTACTGAATAGCAGTGGTGTCACTCTGGAGACTAGGGTGTGTCTGATACAGGTCATGGTCTTTACAAACACTTGCTATGGATCAGAGAGCTAGACAATGACGTGGGAGGATAGAAGGAGAATTGATACCTTTGAGCTGTGGTGCTGGAGAAGAGGATTGAGGGTACCATGGACTGCTAAGAAAACAAACAGGTTCATCCTGGAGAGGGTTAAACTGGGCTGCTCTTTGGAGCAAGGATTCTGAGGCTCCGTCTGACATACTTTGGACATGTTGTAAGAAGGGACCGGTCCTTGGAGAAGGACATCATGCTTGGGAGGGTGGAGGGACAGCACAGGAGGGAAAGGCCCTCTATGAGGTGGTTTAATTCAGTGGCTAGGGTAATGAGGGTTGGAGTGTCAGACACAGTGAGGTTGGCACAGGATAGAGCAGGGTTTAGGGCTGTTGTACATAGGGTCACTTTGAGTCACAAGCAACTCGACTGCACATTACAACATTAGGAGGGCAGATAACAAACCTGTAAGTTAGCCGTCTTTACTTAAAGGAAATTCTGCCCACTTATTTCTAGCATCTATATATTTCTCATAAAACGAAAAGATTAGAAATGCCATAACATATTAATAAGTCTTTGAGTCTTGAGATCTCATTTTCCCCTTTCAATAAATCTTCATGAAACACTTGGCAGTCTTGCTTAGGTTCCTAAATCTAGGAAATAATATCTGGGAACAAGTCTCTCAAATTTAGATCCCCAAAATCTTATTCTTAGGATTCTAGTTTTCAATTTGAAAAACACTGTCTTCGAGAAATGTTAAGTGTATGCTCTTAACACAAAGATGGCAGAACTTAGCTGCTTTCTTTACATAAGATACTCCAAGGACTGCCAGGACACCAAGCCTTCTCTCCACAGATGTAGATAAGCTTAGGATAGAACTACTGATTTCTAATGGTTGGCAGGAAACTTGCATGTGTAAGTCAGGAGAAGCTCACACTCTGAACAGAAGAATTCTCCCACAAAGGAACACACTCCCATCTGTGGAAGATGATAAGAAGCAGAGCAGACAGTGATTAGAAGCTGTCAGAGGTTCTTAGCCTGTCGATGGGAGCCTCCCAAGTCTTCACAGCTTGAATTTTTTATCTTGACTTCCTACAATCAGTTTGGCTTTACTAGTTTCCAAACCCACAGCAGACACGCAGGAGACTGGGGCTCCAGGCTCACCCAGGGAGGGCAGGCAGATCTCAGAAGTGACAATTAATGGCAAAAAAGCCAGAGTCGGCAGCGCATGCTTCTCTGCACCAGAAGCAGAGGCCTGCTAACAGCCATTTTTAGAGAGGAAGCCCAGATCACACAAACGGCTAAGAGAACTGACGGAAGAGGCAGAGGATCCAGGACTACTGGAGAGGAGCATATAAAGTAGTCTTAAAAAAATTTTGCTACTGTGTAGCAACCAGCATACATGTGAATAATAAGCCTAAGAACAATAAGACTTTATATGAACATTATTCTTATTATTTCGGCTCTACAATCAACACTCTTGGCACCAGGAAATCAAAAGACACATTGCATTAGGTAAATCTGTTGTCAGGGACCTCTCCAGAGTACTGAAAAGCAACGATGTCAGTCTAGAGACTAAGGAGTCTCTAATCTAGGCCACGGTCTTTGTAATTACCTGCTAAGCATCAGAGAGCTGGACAATGATTAAGGATGACAGGAGAATAGATGCCTGCGAGTTGTGGTGATGGAGAAGCAGCCAAGAAAATAAACAGAGGTCTTAGAGAGGGTGAAACCAAATTTCTCCTTGAAGGCTAGGATTTTGAAACTCCAGCTCACATACTTTGGGTATGGGCCAGGAGGGGCCATCTTTGAAGAAGGACATCATGCTCAGAAGGGTGGAGGGACAGTGCAAGAGAGAAAGAATCTGGGTGGATTGATTCAGTAAGTAGGGCAATGGGGATAGGTGTGTCAGAGTCAGTGAGACTAGTTTATTACAGGGCAGGTTTTAGAGCTGTTGAACACAGGGTTGCTGTGAATTGCAGGGGACTTGATGGCACATAATAACAACAGTCTACTATTTGAATAAAGTAAAGCTTAATATTGGCAAAGCCCTGCAACTAACTAATATAATTATTGACCTTTTATAACTGTTTTCACTTGTGGCTGCTAGACCACAGACGAAAATTTAAAATAACATGTCAAAATTAACCTTAGTTCTTCTTTTAAAATAAAATTAAAAAAGACAATGTACTCTTACCACAAATTAGACAAAAATATCTATGACCCGTAAACTGTTTTAATACTTTTAATGCAAAGTATAAAATTTTTATAACGTTTTAATGCAAAGCTCTATTAAAAATACACCATTAGCCAGATATTAAAAATAGCTTTCTATAATAAATTCTTTTACTAGAATTTGGCCAATCCCAGATTTGCCCATCAAGGCCTTTATGGACGCTAGTTCATATTAAAAGCACTTAACTAGGGGAGCTCTGGTGGCCTAGTGGTAAGGAGCTGCAACTACAATCCCAGAGGTGCATGGTTCGAATCCACCAGATGCTCTGCCGGGGAAGGAGAGACAATCTCCTCCTGTACCAGTCAGATCTGATTTGACAGTACACTTACACAAAAATAATAAAATAAAATAAAAATTAAAAAAAAGCACTTAACTATCAGCACCTTAACTATAGTAAAACAACATAAAACAAAATGGAGTTGGAATAGAGGCTTTGCTGATGGGAAGGAGAACAAGGCTGACTTAAACGAGTCCTAAAATCGAGAAAAGACCAATCATGGTAAAAAAAAAAAAATTAAAAAAAAAGCAACTGTGGCCTGACAAAGGATGAATGTGAAAGGATAGCAAAGTGCAGAAGGGTTCTGAGAAATAAGCCTCCATCTGTGTGTCTTAGAAGCAGCTGCTTTCCAATCACTGAATGAACAAGAAGCCATTCATCGAAGGAACGTGCCCTGAAACCCACCAGAAAGGGTCTCTCTCACCTTACAGACGAAAGCGACCACCAAGGAAGGGTCTCTGCCATCTACCTTCTGGCTAATATCTGAAAGAAAACAAACTGAATTAAAAACAGGTGACTATCTGATTGAGTTTGACATTAAGCAAAAATATTACATGGACATAACCGGCTCAATACGAAGGTCAAAGAGTACGCGAGCGCTCTCCACTAGGCTTCTCTCCTCACTCGTGCTCACATGGAGAGTGGAGTAAAAGCAAAACACAAACCTCCAACCACAGAAAGACAGAATGCTAAGTGAAATGAAAAACAAACCAAACACATTTTTCAAAGTCGTAGTAAAGACAGAAAGTCAAAAAGCAATGTGTTTTAAGTAAGCAGAATATGTGAAATGCCAGGGGAATTTAAAAAAACTAAACCAAAAAAAACCCCACAAAAACAAAAAGTCCAACCCAACAAAAAACACACTAAGATCTGCAGAGAAAAAGAACTCTCCTCCCAACCCCATGCTTTGGGAAAAGGCACACCTTACATGCCATCTTCTTGGTCATCTGTCAGCCCCACCACTGGGCAGAAAAAGACCAACTGTGCCTTCTCACCAGAGATAACAGCGTCTCTGAGCAATCTAATCCCACCGAGATACCTACTCTTGGAATTTTAAGTCAGTTTCTCAGAGGGCTGTCATTCTGAACATGGTACTGACCTACTCATTGGTCTAACTCTGCTGTCTGTTACAGCTGTTCATCCAAAGTGAAGATGCATTCATGAAAAATGCAAGATGCCAGGTCCTGCTCTCTGGCAAACTGTGGGCTTAACCAGGGCTGCACCTTGACCTTTAAAGTCCAGTAACAGCCACAATCTTTCTCATTCTCCCTGCAACCAAATACATGCTGAGGACAGACTCTCGATTCTACTTGAAAGCATTAAAGGTAGAAAGAATGTAAGTTCTGTCTCCGAGTCCTACTTCAGTACCTTTACCACTTGGAGAGTGCTGCTCCTTTTCAGGGGATCCCGAGTCTGAAGAGGGCGTGGGGCTGAGCCGACTGAGAGGTCTTTCTGGTCTCTGGGCTGGCTGGTGGTCTCTACAACTCTGCTCACCTGGTCAGAATAGGAAATCATCAAATTCAACTCCACATGCAGTGAGCTCCCAGGCAAAGCCTAGATGTGTGAATGCCAGGAAGCCCGTTGAATTCAGCACACTTTCTAATAAAAACAAGAAATAACCCATACCTCCCAGCTAGCCTGTGGGCATTCGTGATACCTTACTCGTCCTTACACTCCCCTCTCTCAGAGCCTTGGTCACAGCAGGATCTCCACAGGGTTGGTTTGGGGTTTTTTTAACACACAGCACCTCAACGCTAGGAGGCAGCACAAGCTTAATCGGCTGCCTCGTTCATTTTCCCCCACTCCAGATAAACAGACCAAGGCCTGAAGACTATTTGTCACTCTCAGAAGCGTCCATCATTTTGCAGTGAAGTCTCAAAGGTCACACTCAGCCAGACTTAAGGACAAAACTGATGTGACAGGACCTGAAGTGCATGCTGTCTCTGTCTAGATGTCAAAGCCACATTTTAATCAAACTCTGATGCCTGAGAAATTGGCCTAAACTTTCGACTCGAATGGCTGTTGTTGTTTTTTGCCGTCGAGTCCGGTAAGATTCAGAGCCAACCTATGGACAGCAGATCTGAATCCTGCCGTTTCCCGCATCGGTCTCCTCATCTCCAATATACCTGAGCCTATGGCTCTGTAGTTGGGGACCTCTGGGGGGAGCTGTAAGAAGCTGTGCTATAATCCCAAAGACACGTGGTTCAGGTCCACCAGCCCCTCCATGATAGAAAGATGGGCAATCTCCTCCCATGTGATTTACAGCTTCTGAAAACCCGCTGGAGGGTCAGCCATCAGTTGGTTCCAATGTGACAGCACACTGACGTTGACGGTCTTCCTCTCTTCTGCTGACCCCTCCACCTTTCCAAGCATGATGCCCCTCCCTTTTCAAGCCCCTCCTAACAACATGCCCACAGTTTATGAGTGTATCATCTTTGCCTCTAAGGGGTACTCTGGCTGCACCTTTTTTCTTTTTTTCAGTCCATGGGCTATTAATTCTATTCTCCAATACCACAACTCAAAGGCATCGATTCTTCTTCCGAGACTTGGCATCTCTCAACTGCACAGCGGCTGACTGGAAAGACCATGGCTTGAGTCAAGCGCACCTTAGTCTTTAAAGTGAAATAACTGCTATTCAGGACTTTAAAGAGGTCCCTGACAGGAGACTTTTCCAATGCCATATGCCTCCTAATCTTCCAACTGTTGGTACCAAGGATACAGACTGTGGATCTAAGCAAGATAAAATCATCGGCATTTTCAATCTCTTCTCCATCTATTGGCCCATTGGTAAGGATTTTCATTTTCTTGAGGCTGAGATGTAATCCATACTGAAGTCCTTGATCTTCTGCAACAAGTCCTCCTCACTTTCAGTAAGCAAGGTTTCATTATCTGCGTAACACAGCTTGTTTGTGAATACGCTTCCTTCTATTACGATGTCATCTTCTTCCGACTCCAGTTTCTCAAATGATTTGTTCTGCATACAGACTGACTAGGTATGGAAAGAGGATATAGCCCCAACACACACCTCTCTTGATTTTAAACCAAGAGGTGTTCCCTTGCTCTGTTTGGACAACAGCTTCTACTGTTGTTATTCGTATGTAATGTTCACCTTTGCACATCCTGGTAGGTTCTCTGGAAGGTCCTTTGGGTAGTGGTAGATAGGCCCCGTGGACTGAATATGCATATGTAAATGCAGTCTGTTTTCAGACAGCATTACAACATGTATCACTGTCATCCAAACACAAACTTGCTGCTGTCAAATCAGTTCTGATTCAGAGCTGACCCTCCAGTGGCTCTGAAGGCTATAAATCAGGGGAGGAGACGGCCTGTCTTTCTCCAGGGAGGCTGCTGATGGATTGACACCGCCAGAGATGTGCAGCCTCTGGGTTAGTGGTGCCGCATACTACAGCCTCCAGAGCTCTTCAGTCACTGTCACTCCACAAGTTACGCACGCCTGTCCACAAGACTGTAAGGTCCACAAGACTGTAAGGTCCTCCAGGACCCGGGTCCCAACTTCTCTGCTCACTGCCCAAAATGAAGGGCACAGGGAACGTTTCCAAACAGGAACTACCTTCAACTGCACTGTCCTTCTGCCCGACCTAGGACATACACCTTCCTCTGTCCTAGCGCAGAGGCTTTCATACTCACTGTATATGGGGATCTGAAAGACGGTCATGGTTTCGTCTTTGTACTCTGGTGCCGAGTGGGGCCGCACAGCTTTGTAAGAAGATGGAACAGAAAGCAAGACCACATTAGCGAAGACACAGGAAATGAAGTCTCAGGGTCACTAATAAAAAGTAACTCAATTTCTTGCACTTTTTAGTGGGAACCTGTCACTAAAATGAGAATCTGAGTACACAGAATTTTTCAGGAAAGAAACAAAGATGTCGTTTTAACAGCCATTCATGTTTACCACATCAGTAAAACACATTATGATCAGAAACTGTTGTTTAGAAAGAAACTAAGTCACATCAAGATCTAAGTTCATATTCAGCACTGTGAGGCCAGGAAATTCAGCATCTCAGAGCTAAGAGCTGCACAGGCTTTGAGGAGCCATGGTGATGCAAACAGTGATGCACTGACCAACAGGCAGAGTTCATGTCCATCTGACCCAGAGATGGACTTCTGAGATCATCTGCGAAGACTCCCTGGAGCACAGTTTTACTCTGACACACACAGAGGCACCAGGAGGTGGACAAGAGTGAACAGGCAGCTACATTTTTTATATGTTTTGAAGTATCAGTGCACCTGTTAAAGAACTACATTGATCAATGACAGGTCCCAAGACCAGAGCCCTGCCTTTCTCTATGGTTGTGTCCCATCAAAAGGTCACATACTAAAAACACTGCCTGAAGATCAGAGTACAAAGGACGCAAAACCTTTACTTGCCTCTCCACTCATACCTCCACTTTCCAGTGCAAGGAGCTCAAGGCTGATCAACCAGCAAGATCATATGAGCACTAAGTGAAGATCCTGGGTGCTCGAAGGGAGGCCGTGTCATGACAGGAAGTAATTTCTAAGTCATTCTGCCAACTCAGCCATTTTATTGGGAAGGTGAGGCTGAGGCACTAAAAGTGACATTCTGAAAACTCACCTTGTATTCATTTAACATTTGACTGTTTTTATTTGAGTTTCTATGGACTGTCATCTGAGAAGCTGTGCAGTATACAGGAAAAGAAATGGAAAAAATGAATCATTACCAAACATACCCAGATCTATCCCTTTCAATGGGCCAGAAAATATTTTGATAGCTTCAAGATATTTCTCCTAAAACAGAGAAGAAAGAAACAAGCAGTTATGGTTGCACACACAGAACACAGCAATGCACATGAGTCAACAGGTACCAACATAATAATATAATATACACATATAAAATAATTTAATAACAGGGAGCTCAAGTGGCCTAGTGGCAAGCAGCTGTGCTCCAATCCCAAAGGCATGCGGTTCAAGGCCACCAGCTGCTCTGCAGAAAAAGAATGGGCACACTCCTCTCATGGGATTAACTTTCTCTGAAAACCCTCAAGAGGGTCAGCTGTGGATCAGTTCTGACTCTATGGTACACAATAACAGCCGATATAAAGCAAATGTCACTAAGTATTCGGGACACTATTTATACAGTAGTTTGCTTAAACGTGTCCATTGCTGACGGTGTTGTTAGGTGGCGTCAAGTTGACTATGACCCACAGTGACTCTATGGGCAGCAGATCTGAACCCTGTCCCATCCTGTGTCAATTTCATTGTGTCTGACACCCTGGAGTGCACTGCTGCTGTCACCGTGTCAGTCCATTTTGTTAAGGGTTTTCCTCTCTTCCCTGACTTTTCTAAACAAGCCACACCTAGCAAATGCCCAAGGTATGCGAGAGGAAGTTTTGCCATCCTTTCCTTCAGGCATCCCCCCTACAAATGGAGACTCCAGTAAAAGTAGCACAAGTTAAACAGTAACACAGCTTTAATACCATCGTGGTAGATGCTCTGCCAGAAAAAAAATGAAAAAAGTGCAAGGAAATAAGATTCACTAAGTCTGGGGTCAAGGACAGCTCTTTAGCAAATAATCCTTCAGCTGATCTCTAAAGGAGGGCATGAGACAGGCAGAAGATGAGGGATAGGTAAAATGCTCTACAAACCAGACAAATTAAACCACTTACTACTGACTAGGTTCCAACTTATGGTGACACCATCATTCAGAGCAGAACTGCTCTAAAAGGTTTCTTAAAAAAGAAGACCACAAGATCTTTCTTCCATGGGGCCTCTGGGTAAGTCTGAACTGTCAACTTTTGCAGTTGAGCTTAACGGCTTTTAGCTATTTTGCCACCCCAACACTCCATAGGAACACCCCTAAAATAACTTACATATAGAGAAATGAGCTTCAATGGGGGAACAGAACACCTGAAGAGCTCAATTAGCCAATGATGCTACAACTTGGTAACTTGAAGTGGACATAAAGGGAAGCACGAGCAATGGCCAGTGCTGTTAGGCATTAACACTGGATTGTACTGTAATGTGACAGGCTTGGGTTTTAGGCTGAGAAATGGCATGCCTACATTTATATTTTAGAGATCTTGTGGAGCTCCTGTGTGGTAGGCAGACGAAAGAGCCAAGCCCGGATATGGGAGACCACTGCAGTGCACAGGCTGAAAACCAATGAAGGGTTCTAATGTGCTATGTGTTAGGCGCCATCAACAGCAGATCAGAACCTCGCCTGATCCCTGCGCCATGATCACAAGCCATGCCACCGTCATTCAATATTCTGGGCCACAGAATCCAAACACCAAAGGATCTGATGAGACAGTGACAAGGAGATGGCTGTGATGCATTCTGAGGCAGAAGTAGTAAGATTTGGTGACTGGTTGCCCTTCCTGAGAACCAGGAAGTGAACAGCTGCATCCAAAAGCTTTGGCACTAGCAATGTGCACCCAAGCTCTCTTTGTGCACAAGTTCACAGAAGTGGCCACTTTAGGCGAGCCCTGGTGGCCTTGTGGCAAGAAGCTGCACTGCAATTCCAGAGGTGCACGGTTCAAATTCACAAGATGCTCTGCAGGAGAAGGAGGCGCAATCTCCTCTTGCACCAGTCAGATATGATTTGACGGTACACACACAAAAAAATAATAAAATTTAAAAAATAATAATAAAATTAAGAAGTGGCCAGTTTGGAAATCATGTTTAACAATAAGAGCTTCTAAATACTGAATGCCTACTTGATGTGAAACATCTAAAGAAGTGGTTTAGTCCCCTATAAGCATTAACTCATTTAGTCCATTTACTCCATTTATATCCATAAACTCATTTAATCTCATTTACAACTCTGAAGCAGAATCATTCTTTAGGTAAAGATTCTTTTATAGCTCAAAGAAGTAAAGCAACTTAGTCACAGGCACACAATTAATGTTTTGAACTCAGGCCTATGCAACTTGCAAGAGGGAAGTGTTCAACTATCGCACTACCAGTTATCTCTGTAAAAGACGACTTTGCAGAAATGAGGGTTAGATCATTATTGTTACTAATATTAAATTTGGGGAGGGGGATGTGAGCAGGAGAGTTGAATCAAGAGATACTATACTTACTAGCTGTGGAGGTCCGGAGAGCACACACTTTGGAAGCCCAGTTTCCTTCAAAGTGAGAATCATTCCTTAAAAAAAGGATAAATAAAATCAGCACCTCAACTACATTCTAGATCATGTGAACGAGAGCCTTCATTCACATTCACACGATCTAGAGTGGTGGCCATGGTGGCCTAGTGAGTAAGGAGTCGCACTGCCAACCCAAAGGCAGCCAGTTCAAATCTGAGGGATAGAGATGGACAATCTCTTCTCTTGATTTATTGCCTCTGAAGGGTCAGCTCTGAGTCTCTTCCACCTCGATGACAAGAAGTTATGAGGCTTTTGACCTTTTAATAGTCATAGCTAAGAGGAATAGCCCTCATTTATCCAGATGTGTCTATCTGTTCTCACTTCAATGTGGTTACTGGAGAAAATACATAGAGAAGCGACATTCATGTGAGGCACGAGGGCCATCAGACACCTACAAATGCCTCTATAATGGACAGGCCTGGGACAAGAGGGAAGTGAGGCTAAATGCTCACATCTGGGCTGTGTGAGTGTAAGGTGGCCTTCAAGCGTACACTCCAGCCATTGTCTCAGTCTGGAAGGGGCCCCAAGTTCTACTCTCTCCTAGCATATTGAGAAGTTTATAGAACTTGGCTGCAACATGGTCTTGACCTTCCTTTCAAATAAAACCCAAAGTCACTGCTGTTGAATCAAAGCTGATTCCTAGTAGACCCTCCAGCAGGTTTTCAGGAGGCTGTAAATCACACGAGGGGAGACTGTCCGTCTTTCACCCTTACAGGAACCAGTGTATGTGAACCCCAAGAGATGCTGTCTTTGGGTTAGGAGGGCAACTCCCTCCTTTTACCCTCTGAGTAGATAGAAATGAAGGCAGTAATCTGGATAGAGCATGTCTGTATATGCTTGCCAATGGTTTCAAGGATAAAAAGATTGCTGGAATCACCTATAATCTACATATTATCCAGTTTATTACCACAAATCTTTGGCCTAGCAACCCAAGAAGCCAAGGTGATGGCAACTATGTTAACATGTTGCCGCACACTTTTAAATTGGCAACTGTGCTCAGAAACACATTTTGCCGTCATTTGTGGCAACGTGTTAAATCCCCTTGAACATGGAGGGCAGGATGCAGGCTGAAGTATCCACTTGCTTTTCTGAGTCACAGCTTTTAAAGCTACAAGCTACAACTGGTCGGGCTGGCACCAAAAGAATTCCAGCTCCCTAGGCTTGCAGGACTGGCAGTACAAAGGGCAAGGCAAGTTAAAACCCCCGAGACTGCCCTCCAGTCTCCAATGCTTGAAAGATCATACTTACCACATAACCCTCCAACATTAGACCAGTGCATTCGTGTCAGGAAAATGTTGTCCAAGCGAGCAACCTTTAGTCTAAGAAAGAAGACATGAGAGCAGGGAGTCGGGGAGGCATTACCCAGAGACCACTCATGTTAATAAAACAGCCTTGTTTCTCAACTAAGCTTTCAATTCCTTTTAGCACCCCGCACATTGAAACAAAACCCTAGACTCACTTGTGCTCCTGCATGAGGCGCTGGACTCCTTCTCCACAGTTGAAGAGGTACCTACAGAGCAAATATTACCCAAAATATTTAGATAATACTGTGTGCAACATCTTTGAAAGCAATTAAACAAATTATTACAGGCTCTGAAGCTCTGGTAGCCTAGTGGGTAGAGCACTGTACTGCCACGTCAAAGGCTCACAGCTCAAATCCACTAGCTGGTCCATCGCAGAAACATGGACTATCACTTCTCTTGTGATTTACATCTAGGGGACCTACAGGTATGACATGAAAGAGGCAACAGGACTTCAAATGGTATTAATTAAACACAGGTCATAAGGATAGCAGCTGAATGTTCTGTACCAGCTCTGCCCCAAATTTCATTTACTATCCCTAGCCTGGCTTACCAAACCTATAAAGGAAATAAGACAGCTGACCCTGAAGGTTGGGCTTGCTCCTATTTGAAGAAGAGGATTAAGGCCTTTCTGGTGGGCTCTGACTCCATGGCAATGAGTTGAGAGTTTTGAGCTTCACTTAAAAAAACCCAACCAAACATAAAAACCCCAACTACGCTGAAGAACCACCAGGTTTGAATGATCCTCAGTAGAGACACGGACGGTTGGGGGCTGAACAAAATGGGGCTGGAGACAAGAGTGATCATTCACCAGACATGTTGTCAACCTCAAGGGGCCCTCCTCCTTAGGGAACAAGGGAGATAGAGCCGCTCTGGGAGAAGGGACCCAAGGATTGGGAAGAAATGATCGGAGTAACCCAAGTGTGAATTTCTCCACAAACCTCCCTCTCCCAGAAATCACATGTACATACAGAGATAGAGAATCTATGGTTGCACCTCCCCTTCTAGACTCTAAAAAGGCAATAGATGCTGCAGTTGTGAAATGCCAGATGAAGGAGGTAGGGGTCAAAGAAATCTGGAGAAGAGCCGCGATGGTGCGGGCTGCAGAGCTGGGTAAGGGGCGCTGCGAGGACGGGTTGGGTGCTCAGCACCCCATACTAACCGGTTATACTCTGAGAACACATAGAGCGCTGCGCCCGCATCCCTGCCGCCGGCCGCCACCACCTGCAGGTACACGGTGTTCGGACCCCTGGGCTCCCAGGACGGGCCCCGCTTCTCTCGCGTGCGCAGGTGCCGCAGCGGGTCCTTGGGGGGCCGCTGGCGCCGGGCGGGCCCCTGCGACATGCTGCGCCCAGCCGCGACCCGCAGTAGCAAGCGGAGAGCCCACATTCACCAGCCTCCAGAGGAGTTCAGCTCAAAACCGGACCATGCACGCCGCCGTGCCGCAAGCACCACTTCTCAGCTCCGCATGGCGGATCTGGCCAATCGGCTCGCGGGAAGCCCAGAGGCCCGCCTACGCGAGCCAGTGCATCCAATAGTAAGATTCCTTGGAGCCCCAAACTTGTCAACGGGCGACGACCATAGAGAGGGGGAAGCTAGAGCGCCATGAACGGCGCCACATCTGGCTCCTTTACGGCTTTCTCCAAGTGAGTTTTTCCTGATACGTCACTCAACTGAGGCGGGACTTCCGGAGACGCTATCTTATTTTTTAACGTGCCTTTCACAGGGGCCACCAAGTGAACAAATCTGACACCTCTCTTGTCCCATACCATCCTCATCATCTCTTATATCCTCGAGCCCATTCTTTCTCTCTTTGCTGACCTTCCACTTTTCCAAGCATAATGTCCTCCTAACCAGGTTTTGTCATCTTTGCCTCCAGAAGCACCCGGCATCACTTTCTCCAAGGCATATTTGTGTGTTCTTTTGGCAGTCTATGGGTTATTGAGTACTGTTTTGCAAAATATTGTTTTGCAACACCACAATTCAAAGGCATAGGTGATTCTTCTGTCATCCTTATTCATTGTCCAACTTTAAGATGCATAGCAGTGAAATCACAGCTTGCATCAAGAGCACCTTGATCTTTAAAATAGCATCATTGAGCTCCGCAGTACTTTGGAGAGTTCCTTTACTTTCCCAATGTAACATGTCTTCTGATCTCTTGAGGGCTGGTACTAAAGGTATTGATGGTGAATTCAAGCAAGATGAAATCCTTGACAATTTCAATCTTATCTATCATGATATTGCTTGTTGGTTCAATAGTGAGGATTGTTATATCTTCTTGATGTTGAGACATAATCCATATTGAAGGCTGTGTCATCTGCATGAGTCTTCCTCTGAACCTGTTGCCACACTCTTTATAAGTCAAACCTCTAGAATGATTTGTCCTTTATATAGATTGAATAGGTATGGAGAAAGGATGCTTGCTCTGTTCATACTACAGCTTCTCAGTCTATCTACGTACAGATGTTTCATAAGGACACTTACGTTTTTTGGGATTCCCATTCTTCTCAATGTTACCCACAATTTGTTATGCTACACAGAGTTAATTGAATGCCTTTACATCATCAATGAAACACAACTATCCTTTCGGGATTCTCTGCTTTCAGCCAAGATCCAAGTATCATTAGCAATGTCCTCTTCTAAGTCTGAAGGACCCCCAAATCGCTGGTCCTGTTCTGTCCCGAGTGGACGGCGAAGACCCAAGACTCCAAGACCCCGGCTTGATGCAACAGCAAGAGATAAGAGGTTTATTGCGGAGCTCCGGGCCGACCCT